CTTTCTCCCTCAGTTCCTTTCAGTCATAATGTTCTGCCTCATCTTGGGCCCAGAGCAATGGAGCCGCCCATCTATGGACTGAGAACTCAGAATCCATGAGTCCCAAATAAACTTTTCCTCCTTTAAAATTGTTTTTGTCAGATCTTTCGGTCACAGCAGTGAAAAGGCTGACTAAAACAAGGCCCATTATTAGAACATATTAACAACCAACATTAATCTTATTGTCTGCAGGTAACTGATCAGTGTACATATATTCTCTGGTGTAAGGATACCCAACTTGCCCAAGGTCATATTGCCAGTGAGTGATGGAGTCAGGACCTTGCTTGTTATTATTTAATGAGCAACCCAAATTGTTCTAACATAAAGTTAAAGGGCTAATTACCTTGACCAAATTAAAGAGCACATCACGTGGACCCAAGGGACAGCAAGTCACTCCAGTGTCTCTCCTCCTGTAATACAGAGAGACTTCTTTTATCTGGGGTTTCCCAGAGAAGCTTACAGGTAGTCTAGCTGTCAGCCAAACTACTCACTGATGAAACTCTTCTGAAGACATTTCAAAGGAATTAAACACATGCTTTTGGAGAAGCAGCTCTATCTAGCCACTGTCACATTCTGGTACTAGCAATGTCACCACCTCCTCCCTCCCTGCCCCAGCTCTAGGGACTCCTGCTTAGCTCTCATAAGAGGCAATGTTTAAATGTGGCTTTTTGTTCTCTTTTGGGTGCATAAGCTATTAATTAATTTTAGTTGTAAAGAAATGGGAGTTGCCCTGTGTCCTTTGTTCTTGAGATTGGGTGTTCTTTTGTCAGGGAACACGGAGGCCCATTGTTCTAACTCCTCTCTTGTTCACATTGTATTTTTCATGACAGAGCATATTTATTGTCTTCCATCCAGATTTGGGGATCTGTTTGTGGTGGGTTTTTTTTTCTTCATTTTTGGCAGTGGCCCTTCTGTGGGGTTGCAAATGGCTCAGTCAATGGTGTACTTGAACCAGGCTGCTAAAAATGACCAGACCTGTCTCCCTCCTTGTGCATTTCAGGAGGCTTTTCCAGTGCAGGTGCTGATGAAGGACAGTGGAGAGTGCTCAGTGCCAGGAGACTAATTTTATCCCCATGGAAAAAAAAAAAGAGCCAGGGGATGGATCCCTGGTGTTTACCTAGCACAGAGAATGTGGCATGCATGCATCTATCTTCCATTCAGTCTCCCTTCACAAGTGGTGAGCCCCACTCTTGTAGACTGCAAGTATCATCATCATCGGTGACAGCTTTGCAGGGAGCCTTAACAGCTTGTCAGGAAACTAATCAATGTGGCTTTTTACAAAGGAATCTACTTGATCAATATCACCCAGCAAGCCCAGACCTAACAAACAGATTGCATAAGAGTTTTCAAAATCAATAGACGTTCCATGGAACATAAATTATTGGGGATACTTAATGTATCATAAATGCTTCATGCTGATAGCTCTTTCTCTGGTAGCTATAGTAATATGTTAAAGGTGATAAGAGAGACAGTGCTTAGGCTGCCAGACAGTCTCTAAAACACATTCTCAAAGCGGGGCATATATGTACAATTAGCTTAGAAGCTGTAACTCTGGTTTTAAAGGAAAATTTGTTTGAATATGCTATTTTAATTTTTTTCCCACGCTGCAGATTGTAAACTTTGTTGACATATAGGCTTATTTTGGTGTCTCTGAATGATGGGCATGTGCATGTAGTAGGCATAACAACAAATTCTTGCTGAGTTGATCATCAGTCCCTACATTCCTCCTGGGACTCAT